ATGTCTTTCTTTAACTGATTAAGTTTTCTTTGAAATTCTTTTACTCTATGTATGGACTCGATGGGATTCATATTACTACTAAATATGTCCTATGTAGAATATTACGTTTTATATCAAGCAATGCCTTGCATTGCCATGTCTTGCATCTAATGTGACATTTCACGTCGAATGTCACGCCATTCACGTTATTTCACGTCGAATGTTCATTCTGCGTTGACTGTCACATTCTGCGGCAATGCTGAATATGTCCTATGTAGAATATCACGTTTTATATTAAGCAACGCCTTGCGTTGCCATGTCTTGCGTCAAATGTGATATTTCGCGTGGAATGTCACGTCATTTCACGTGACATCTCACGCTGAATGTCACATTCTGCGTTGACTGTCACGTCCTGCCTCACGTGACCATGGCTGGGTGACGTCATTATTCGAGCCAAGCATGCACATCGCTAAGCCAGGTTATGAACAGCCGCGCCCTTATCTCCGAGATCCCGATGCATCGCATGAAAAATTAAGGTACCGACCTCACATCTGGTTCGCGCACCGTACGACCCACTTCGCATCCGATGCATCGCGTGAAAAATTTAGGTACCGAACGCACATCTGGTTCGCGCACTGTACGACCCACCTAACGCGATGTGACGTCTCTCTCTCTAACACATTGTTTTCCCTATGTCTATAGTCATGGTCGTGACTTCTCTCGTCTAACACATTGATTTCCCTATTCTGATAGTCACACCCGTGTTGTTCATCTACTCTTGGGACATATTGTAGCAAGTAATGGTGTAATAGCTGATCTGAAAAACTCATAGCAATTAACGATTGGCCAGTACCAAGAGATAAATACGAAATTAGAGGTTTCCTTGGTCTATGTACATATTACCGACGTTTTGTCAAAGGATTTGCCAACATCTCCAAGCCATTAACAAAGTTGACAGAAGAAGGCAAAGAATGTACATGGAGCGAATAGTGTCAAAGAGCTTCCGAACACGTACAAATGGCTCTAATCAGTGCACTGATTTTAAGCTATCCTAGACAGGCAGGAAATTTTGTGTTGGACACCGATGCCAACAACAGTGCAATAGGAGCTGTTCTCTCAAAAATCCAAGATGGACAGGAGAAAGTCATTGCTTACTTTAGCAAAGTCTTGTTGTCTCTAGCAAACCAGAAAGAAACTATTGCTTTACCAGGAGAGAATTGCTAGGCGTAGTGAAGGCTTGCGAGCATTTCCATAAATACTTGTATGCCAGAAAGTTTCTTAAAAATTTTATTTCAAATCCTTTATAAAAGGTATATAATAAAATGCCCAAACGGGCTATCACAATTACATTACAAAACGTTTTCGGATTGTTAAATCCATCATAAGTGTAAACCTGAAAGTCAATAAAATTAAAATTATAATAATGTAACAGTATCAACCATTATTATAATTTTAATTTTTTCAAATTTAAATAATTCTGGCATCTGTCATTTTTAGACAACTACCGTAAGTTACACTGACTGCTCTGGCACAACATCCGTTCTAACATGTCAACAATGTCATTTTGATCAGTTGTTATCAACAGGTCCTCGAAGACACTTCGTCTCAGGACCATTTTACCTATGTAGGGTCATACGTCGCCATGTTACCAATTCCAACATTAACTTAAACATCATAATCTGTAACCATATATAATGTAAAACAACTGTAAATTTATAACATTTAAAGGGTTTTGACCCATATATTTTGGTGGCTCATAGCATGTATACCTCGTAAGTATTAACCACATTTTTCTTTAACCTTATTCAACATTTTAAATTCAACGTTCTTTTTAATTAAAGTGGTTATTTACTTTCAGGTTTACACTGATGATGGATTTAACAATCCGAAAACGTTTTGTAATGTAATTGTGATAGCCCGTTTGAGCATTTTATTATATACCTTTTATAAAGGATTTGAAATAAATTTTTTGTGATATATGGTATACAGCCAGCTACAGGAACTTAGTTTCCTAGTGGATTTTTAGAAAGTTTATTCTTCGTACGGATCACGCAACTCTAAAATGGCTTCTACAATTCCGTAATCCAGAGGGCCAGATGGCAAGATGGTTAGAACGATTACAAGAATATGATTACAAGATGGAACACAAGTCTGGAAGAGTTCACTTAAATGCTGATGATCTTTCGAGACGACCGTGCAGTGCAAATTGTATTCACTGTCTTAAATTAGAAGAACGACTTTGTTCCGTGAGACGAACCACCGTCATTAATGATCAATGGCAGCCTCAAAGGCTACAAGACGCTCAAGCAGATGATCTATGTATAAAAAGAGTATTGGATTGTATGCCTCGAAGTGAAAGACCTTCTTGGAAAGACATTATGCTTGTAGTCCAGAAGTCAAGTGTTACTGGAGCCAATGTAATTGCCTAGTGCTAAAAGATGATTTTTTGTATAGAACATTTGAGAACGATGATGGTAAAGAAACTAAGCTTCAGATGATTGTACCTAAAAGTAAAGTGTCAGAAGTATTGCGTCAGTTGCATGACGGTGCATCAGGTGGACACTTTGGTATTACGAAGACTCTGCAAATAGTTCGAAAACGGTTCTATTGGGTGAACTGTAAAGATGATGTACGAAGATGGTGCCGGAAATGTGAACTGTCTGCAACCAGTAATGGTCCAGTTGGTAAAAAGAAGCACCCATGAAACAGTACAATGTTGGTAGTCCCATGGAAAGAGCAGCAATCGACATTGCAGGTCCACTTTCACGGATGAATGATGGAAATAAATATATCCTGATAGCGATGGATTTTTTACGAAAAGGACTGAGGCCTATGCGATACTTAATCAAGAAGCTGCTACCGTTACAGAGGTACTTGTTAAAGAATTCTTTAGGCGATTTGGTGTTCCCTTGGAGATCCACTCCGATCAAGGGCGAAACTTCGAATCAATTTCTTTCCAAAAAGTTTGTAAATTGATTGGTGTCAATAAGACCAGAACGACACCCCCGCATCCTCAATCAGATGGAATGGTCGACAGGATAAACCGAACGATGGGTAAACACCTGTCCAAAGTTGTATCAGAACATCAAAGAGATTGGGACCAGCACATTCACTTATTCCTAATGGCCTACCACTCGGCCCTGAATGAAACTACAGACCAGACTCCAACCTGCCTGATGTTAGGTCGTGAAGTTCGTTTGCCATTCAACCGTCTGAAGTTAAGAATGAACAACATTTATCAACTTGCCCGACAACACATCCAGTTAGCCAGTGACAGAATGAAAGATCGATATGATTCTCGATGCAAGAATTAAAGCTATGAAGTAGGTGATCTTGTTTGGCTTTATAATCCACAACGTCGTCGTGGCTTGTCTCCTAAATTGCAAAAGACAATTGGAAGGTCCGTATGAAATTAAAAAGAGAATAAATGACGTAATATACCGAATTAAGAAGTTGTCGAAAGTTAAACCAAAAGTAGTTCACATAAATCGTCTTTCACCTTATGCTGGCTCAAATGAAACAGAAGAAGCACGAACCCTTCAACATGAGATCAAAGATGACCGGCAACCAAGCTTTAATGAATTTATGTCAAATTATGCAGAGAGAAAGAGTGCTAGATTCGGCGTGACCACAGAAGTTCAGCAGGATCTTTTTTCTGTTCCACATAACGTTTCTCTAGCCCACTGTGTTGCCCAAGATCTTGAGATGACTAAAGGAATCTCACCCGTAGTTTATAAGAAGTTCGGTCGTTTGGATAAGTTAAAAAATCAGCAGCCTAAAGTTGGAAGAGTACTTAGGTTAGAAGATGGTTCTCGATCTTTGCTATATATGGTGAGGATATATGATGTGCTCTAACTAATTTGAAGAAAATCGTGTTCAATAATGACATCAAGAATTTGGTCTTACCCAAGATGGTCATGCCCTAGATAATCTGGATTGAAAAATTGTCAGAAGCATGCTTGAAGTGATTCGTACTAATGCGTACGAATTACTGTGTGTTGCATTAACCCGATGAAATCTTGTCCTTTAAAGTCAGAAGACTGTTATTTCTTCTTGAGGAGTTCATGCAGGGCTGGAGAGTTCTGTAAATTCCGCCGTCCTGGGCCTACATCTAGAGTTGCTGATCGGGACGCTCAGGCCTAAGAGGGGAGCAGTGTAATGAAATAGCCCATCTCCGATGCGTAGTACATGTCACAATTCTTAGAAGAATAAATCTAGAATATGCAAGTGCTGGCACCTCAGTAGCGCCCGTCTTCGATGCGCTTTCAACGAGAAGAATAGAGGTGAACTATTCCAGAATATTCTAGTACATAAAAACTTGTATATATAAGTAGCTCCCATATTAGCTAAGTTTAGTTGATAAGATATATTCGTGCTGTAAACTTATAAATAAATATATTTATGTAAATTAAGAACCGCTCGTTTTATTTAAAAACGTTGCAGTATTAATATATGTAATTAATATTGTTAGTATTTTTAATGGAACGTATCATTTCAAGAACAAAATTTGAATGAATGTCAAATTTTAGTAGTTCAGATTTTCTTTCCTAGATGGCGCTAGGAAAGGTTTTAAATCTAAAATAACGTGAACCTTTACATTGTTTTATAATAAATTTTACCTTAAAAATATTATTTAAATTAATTATTTATTATATTAATATATAGTTAATACAGTATTAATAATAAAATTAAACGTATTAATAAACCGTAAAATAAACTTTCCAAGAACAAAATATAATTGAAATATGGTAGTTTATATTTCTTTCCTGGATGGCGTCGTTATGTGACTGGACTTACAGAGTGAGATGTCACTGTCATCGTAACCTTTTATATAGATAGATATTAATTAATTAATTAATGTGGAAAATATATTAATTCATCTGTAACATATTTTTTAAAACAATAGAACTACAAAAAATATTTTTGGTGTTTATTTAACGTTACAGTAGTGATATTCGGATTTGGATAAATTCGTCGACTTTTAATCCACAGACATCAACTTACCTTCATTTTATTTTCAGGCAGTAGGATGGGACGTTAGTGCTTACTCTAACGTTGCCAATTGGTTAGCAAGATGTGCCTTGGCTATTCCAGATTATGAAGAAGCAAATCAAAAAGGGGCAGATTTATTTGGTAAGTTAATCAGAAGTAAATTGGCCCCTGGACAACTGTAAACATTGCGGTATTCTATATTTTAGATAATTATTTAAAATTATACTTTGTTAAAAAACAAAAATCAAAAATAGATATATTTTATAATACTTAACTGAATCTTATAACAGTTTACACATTTTTATGTATATATGTAATTATTGTAGCCAATTAATAGTATAAACATTCGTTGGTTTTAAGGACATCAATATTTAATGTAATAGTGTATGATTTGGATATCGATCATTGTATTTTATATTTTTATATGTAAGATTAAATAAAAACCTTTGTTTTAATGCTTTTTCATAAAATAGAAGAAGAGTATTAACCAAGCTCATCCAAATTAAATCAAGCTAAATCCTTAGGAGAAAAGACAAATCAAGCAAAAAATCCATTTATTGTCTATGAACATAGAAACCTTGTAGATTCTCGATTTCAAAGAGGACGTTTTGTGGCCTAGATCGTTCCCCATAGCGAACTGAAAAATTTTTTGTCAATGACCTACATCTAGGCTTAGTCCAACAGATTTTCTAAGAAACCTTTTCGAAGATGTTTGTTAACTGATTAATTCATTCAGTACGCGTTACAATCACTCTAATTAAAGTGGCGTTTAAAATCCAATTCTTGGCTGAGGTAGATTATTTCTCTGTCATTTCTAGCTTGCTTTGTGTCTTTGCTGCAGTCGTGACTGTTTTCCATTTCTTCCTGTCCTTGCACGGAACTTTCCAGTCTTTAACATTTATTTTTCTTATATCTTCTTATACATCATCTAGCCATCTTCTGCCTTCCTCTACACCTGGGCCATAGTGGTCTCCAGTTAGTTATCCTTCTCAGCATATCTGAGTGTAGGCATCGCTGTATATGTCCTATCCATTATAAGTGAAGATATTTTGTTGTACATAGCGAAGTAGTATTATAAGTATAGTATAGTAGTAGTATATAACCAGATCCAGTAGGATCTGATTATTTACTGACTATATATATTGAAAGAAAAACAGAAAATATCACTATTAGTAAGTAAATAACATATCGAGGATGCATCACTTAGGTTCTTTTTATATAGCATATATATATATATATATATATATATATATATATATATATATATATATATATATATATATCTTGCTTTACCGGTACCTCCACAGGCACTCTGGCTGGTGTCTGGCCTGTTGATTCGTTAACAGCAGATCTGTAGGTCATTGTGAAGAACGGAAGATATTGGTCCCAGTGATCGGACACCATCTTTGTCAAATACTTGCCAACTGTCCTATTCATCCGTTCTACCATACCATCCGATTGCGGATGATATGCTGTAGTTCTTGTTTTCTTCATGCCTAGTCTATCACATATTCCTTGGAATAGATCGCTTTCGAAGTTCCTGCCTTGGTCACTATGGATCTCCAAAGGCACTCCAAATCGACTGATATATTCTTGGATCAACGTATTATCGTCGGAGCGGGATAAGTATTTATAAAATTATACTTATCCGCTGGACGTTTTAAAGTGGCATTGTCTTGAAAAAGACAAATGCCTAAGGGTTATTTATTGTGAGGAATAAAACAACCATTTCTAAGAAGAAAAAAACTCAGCTTCAGAGTCTTTTTAAACTTTTTGCAGAGTCCTCCAATGAGGAGCCCTGCGGCTACTCCGTAAGAGTAAAACCACGACTGACTGTAAATCGAAAATGTCCCATATTTAAAGTATATTTAACTTTTATATGAAACTTTTACGATTTTTAACCAATAGAATTTATTAAAACTTCCAGAAGGAGGGACGATGCACGTCGATGCGCGAGATTGCGGCGCTCGGCGACATCCCCCCCGCTTTGGAGACTCTGAGGCTGATAAAAAAAGCTGATTTTATTAAATGCATTAAGAAAACAGAATTTTTACAAGTTAAAAAATAAATTTAAAAAAATTATGCATAAAAATGGCAAAATTGAATGTTCAAATGTTATCAAAGTCATTACTTACAGTTTTCTTAACACAAAACTACACTCGCGTGGCACTGCACTGCACAAAAACACTCACAGGCGGTGGTCGGTGTCGTGGCCGGCTTCTGCAGGTCCCTCCTCGGCGATGTGGCCGGTCGTCGGCCGCTACGTCTCGTTCTAGCCCTTCAGTACCCTCTGCATGTCACCGGTGGTCCGTACGTAGGCGAGTTTTACCTGAGCCTCCGTGGTGCTCCCACATACTGGTAGGGCAGGCAGTGACTGGCTACTCCGGGGACATCCATCGTGCATCAGGTACGGCATCAAGGTAGGTTGGCTTCGGAGAAGGTCACACATCGACGGTTGCAGGTTGCAAAATGTTGGATATCGGCATATTAGTGTATAACATACTAATATCCGATCCTCTCCCCGCTGTTTCTTGAGTGGTTCTTGTTGCAGACCACGTGTAGGAATTTCTGCGATGGTGGAACGCTAGCATGAGAACTCTAACCACTCAGAGCGTGGTTACGTTCGAGTTTTGTTGGGCGCCATATCGTCGGAGCGGGATAAGTATTTATAAAATTATACTTATCCGCTGGACGTTTTAAAGTGGCATTGTCTTGAAAAAGACAAATGCCTAAGGGTTATTTATTGTGAGGAATAAAACAACCATTTCTAAGAAGAAAAAAACTCAGCTTCAGAGTCTTTTTAAACTTTTTGCAGAGTCCTCCAATGAGGAGCCCTGCGGCTACTCCGTAAGAGTAAAACCACGACTGACTGTAAATCGAAAATGTCCCATATTTAAAGTATATTTAACTTTTATATGAAACTTTTACGATTTTTAACCAATAGAATTTATTAAAACTTCCAGAAGGAGGGACGATGCACGTCGATGCGCGAGATTGCGGCGCTCGGCGACAGTATCTACAATGGTGGCGGCCTTCTGGTCTGGAAGTGCGTAAATCTCGACCCACTTAGTAAAGTAATCCATTACTACCAACATGTACTTGCCTCCATTTACACTTTCTGGAAACGGCCCAGCAATGTCCAAAGTTATTCTTTCAAACGGGCTTCCAAAATTGTACGAGGCCTAAGAACTATATGTTGGAACAAGCAGTTATTTTGCGAATATAATGCCAATTTACCAAAATTCTTTTAGATGGACATAAGATGGACGATGGAAGACATCTAGATGGACATAAGTCCCATTATAATTTGGACTTTTATGAGTTCTGTATCAAACACAGAATCATCCTTTATTGTCTGTACCCCAACTCGACCCACATACTACAGCTTTGTGATGTCAGTATATTTAGAATTTTAAAAGTAGAATGGAAATCAGTATGCCGCCTTCATAAACAAAAGAGTAGTACACTTAATTAGTAGCACCAATTACTCGCCATAATTTTAGTATGCTTTTTAAAGAAGCTTTTGATAAAGCTTGTAAGGAAAGAACCATTATACATGGATTCAGGATTTGTGGCTTTATCCATTAAACCCTGATGCAGTTGATTATTCAAAGTTTATCTCGACCTGGCGAAATTAAATCTTTCAGAAAAGTACCGAATTGTCAGTAGAAGATTACAAATGTCCCTTAAAAGTATTGGTACACTATTTGAATATCAATAATATTACAAATTTTTTCAAGGACATACATTCTTTTCGAAAATTCTGTGAACAAAACATACATGAGCCAAAGACTTGCCCACTTCGACTGAATTATATAATGGACCAGGCGAATAATTGTTTACCGAGTCGTTTTTAAATAATATACCAATGGATGCAGAATATACAAGCGATGTATTCACCGAATCATTTTTAAATGAATTGCCAGTTGAAATTGACGGAGTTCTGTACAAGCCCCCAACTAATGGTACAGCATTAAAGGAAACTGTTGCAACTACACATATACCTCGTATTATGCCTGATGATTATATCGATTCGGAAATTAAATCATACTGTTTAGAAATAGTTGAAACGATTATTGACAATGTTTATAATATTGTGGAAGAAAAAGACTTCCAATCTGCGTGTATTGCTATTCCAGCCAAAAAGCAATGCTGCTATGTTGCTATGCCAAAGCAACAAACATGCTTTAAGTGAAGTATGGAGCAATCATCTTCACTGGCCACAGCAAGAGAGTGTACCAAAAGAGAAACCAACGTGTGCGAATGCCTTATGCAATTAAATCTAAAAGAAAAAAAAACTGGAGACGGATCTAAAGAAATCAATAGCTAAAAATAAAAATTTATCCGGAAAAGAAACCAAGAAGCTCAAACTAACGATAAAAAAAGAGGGATTAGACAAGAAAAAAATTTTGAAAGAGTTGATGGATGAAGTTCCAGCAAGTAAAGGTAATATTAATGCTTATAAAAATTTTAATCAAAAATATAACTTTTCTGATTTTAGTTCAAATGAAACTAAACGAATCGGAAACAACTAAACCTGACGATGTTGAAAGCAATGAGGGTACGATCAAAAATAAAATGCATATTCTAGTAACATATATATTCTAATAATATATTATATATTTATAGTTTTTGCAGTTGGAGACTTTGCACTCGTGATTTACCATAATATGAAGTATCTAGGTTTGATAAAAAATATAGATCAAGAGGCCCAAGAATATGAGATCAGTGTTATGGAAAAAATTAAAAAAATATTTGGAGATGGCCCAAAAGCTTAGACCAAATTTGGTATAAAAAAAGTTTATTTAAAAAAAAATTTGGAGCCGATATTTTCTGAAGGCAGTACATATCAAATACATACATACAGTACATACTTAAGTAATAAATAATTATATTATTAAAACTTTTTAAGAAATAAACCTATGTTCATTTACTGGTATTGCAGTTTTCATTAATTGGATGACTCCGTTCATTTACTGGAATTATTGACACTTTTATATAAAATCGGCAAACCCGTTAAAAGCAGTAATAATTCAGTAAATTTGTACTGTAAAGTGATACTAGTAGGAAAGTTTTGGGGAAGTTCTGATTTTTTCATTCCATATGTGTTTTGGGGTGCTAAATCTGAATCTGAGGTTTGCGGACAAAATTTCGTGACGCAACATTTAAAAAACCAGAAGAAATCGTTTTTTTTGCTTTTTTCCGGTTTTTTGCTTAAAACTCGAAAACTGTTAACTTTTAGTAAATGGTCTGTTTATAGAAATTAAAGTACTTAAAGTTCTGTACAAATGTCACTATTTTGGTTATTGTACAGACGAACCGTTCGGTCTCAAGTACAAGTTGAAAATTGGCAATTTGTACCAGTGCGACTGCAAAACCCACTTTTTAGATTTGTATTGAA